TGATTGTTAATTCTCCTCTCTAGCTGCTACACATTTCCTTGTAAATTAGTTACGTGAATTTGGTATTAGATCAAGACAACAGCTTCTAACTGACAAGTTTGAGTAATCTCATGTCCTGTTTGCTGGATGATGTTTAGATATTACAGGGAGAAGTTACATGTCAATCACTTCTGGGAGTAAAAGGGTTAAGAGTGATTCGCATGTAATTTCTCCTCACACCATTACCCCTGAATCAAATGTAAAGGTCATGTGAAGAAATGAAATAAACACCAACCCAAGATGCTCATGTTTAGAGAATTGTATTGTGTAAAGTGTTAAAACTCATTTTCTCTCATTGTTTTCCCAGTAGAGTTTCTAATAAATTTTCAAATTGATTGCTTTGTTTTCAGTCATGTGTCACAGCCCTAGACCAGACGTGGCATCCAGAACATTTTGTGTGTGCGGCTTGTGGACGGCCATTTGGTGAAAGTGGCTTTCATGAGAGAGATGGGAAGCCTTATTGTCGTGATGATTACTTTGCGTTGTTTGCGCCTCGATGCGGAGGGTGTGGCCAGCCCATAGCTGATAGCTACATTTCTGCTTTGAGTGCCCATTGGCACTCAGAATGTTTTGTGTGTTCGGTAAGTTCTTTGCTGGTTTTTTCTATTGTTATTTTTATTCTCAAAAAAACAACACTGTATGGAAATTCTGCCACCCTCCCCTCCTTTGGATAGGATAGTTGACTGTCTCGAGTCATCCCTATTATTATGCCAGGTTCAGCCTGTTTCTGCAGCACAATACCACCACCCCTCCCCTCCCTCTCCCTTTCCTTCCCAATCCATTATTGTACCAATATTGTACCACTATTGTGCCACCATTTTCTCCCTGAAAACTGGGAATAACCTCTGCCGGCCAGAGCACTCTATGGTAGAGATGGTAGTTAGGAAAAGCATGCAGAAAGTTTGGAAAATTTGAAGTAGACATTTGTTCAAAGGCTGCAAACATAAAGCTTGGAACATATTATAAGCAATTAGATCCACCCACACTGCCCCAGCAGTGTGATTGTTGTGTACAGGTATACTTAGGGGACTGGGTTAGTTTTTACGTTGTGTTGGATTACCCATCTAATCCAAAAGACTTTTAAGTACTAAACATTCTTTCACAAAGTGCCAGCATCAAAAAATCCTCCCTAAACCTATTTTCATTTAAAATCCCTCTAGTTGGTGGTTATTTTTATCACCAATTATGCACCAAGAAGCCATCTTCTCTAACAGACTCCTGTATACACCCCCTCAATAATCCCACCTCAATGCAAACTTCAGTATTGCTCTTCTGTAGAAACCCTCAAGGGGGCTTATTTAACCTTTGACACACAAGAGTGACTAGCATCTAATTTCTCCTTACAATATCACCCCTGAATCACACACTAAAGCCGCAAAAATAAAGGGAATGATCCCAAACTAGAGATTGAAGCTCTTGATTGCAAAACAAATTCTCCATGTCAACACCTTGTGAAATGCATAGAAGATTGTATGGTGTCTTGGTATTCTCATCATCTCTTTGTGTGCTGCTCTGTCGTGGTTGCAAAGGTAAATCAACATTTTATGACTTTTCTTTTCCCCTCAGGAATGCCATCAAGCTTTTCCAGGTGGAAGTTTCTTTGAGCATGAAGGCCGACCTTATTGTGAGATGCACTATCATGCCCGCAGAGGCACGCTGTGCTTCAGTTGTCAAAAGCCAATCACAGGCCGATGCATCACTGCCATGCACCGTAAATTTCACCCTGAGCACTTTGTGTGTGCATTTTGCCTCAAGCAGCTCAACAAAGGTACTTTTAAGGAACAGAATGACAAGCCATACTGTCATCCATGCTTTGTCAAACTTTTTGGGTAGATAGTAAAATAGGAATGACTCTGTTACATGTGAGTGGCTGACAGTCAATATGTTCAAGTGCAAGTCCAGTAAACTGGGATGCATGCCTGAAATTAGAGATTAGGTGTAAGCTTTTATGGTAAAATATTGTGGGATGCCAAAGTTTACATTATTGACCCTGAAACTCTTAGAAGTGATCAACATGTAACTTCTTCCTATAATGTCCATACATTATACAGCAAATAGGTAATAAGAATATTTGAATTTAGTTGGTAGAAGTTGCTATCTTGATCTAGCACCACAATTTTTATAACTAGTTAACAAAGAGATGTGAATTAGTTTGTAGGGAGAATTAGTAATTAGATTTTTGGAGTTAAAGTGTTAAATGCTACATGTTACAATTAACAAAGTTTTCATGTAAGCATGTTTTAAAAGAAATGGAAGGCCATGTAGAACTTATCAAACTTCGAGATAACTTGCTTGCCTATTTTAATTTATTCTATATGGAAAGTTTACCAGGAAGCCTTTGCATGATGTAATTAACCCTGTTTGTGTGGCTTGCCTGAAAACATATTGACAGTTGGCCATTACAGAGTTGCTTATCTCATCAGAGAAGCAGTCATCTCTCTCAAGTTTTGTTTCTTGTATGTGGTTTGCATTGCTGAAGAGACTGGCTGCTTTGACACGCTGCACTAGTAATTTGTGAGATACTAAGTGAATTAAAATTTAGAATTATTATTATATTTTTTAATTAACCCTTTCTCTCTCTGAACCTCATTAGTAATTCTCCTTACTATCTGCCATTCAATTCTCATGATGTTCAGTCTGAGAATTTGGTGCTGGATCAACTGATAATTGTCTTGTTGATATTTTTCTTTACTCTCATCACTTGTCTGCTTGATATGGTAAGGAGAAATTCTGTCTTGGTCATTAATAAAAGTTACAGGGGTGACCTTTTCTCTCCCTGGAGTGACCAAAAATGAATTTCCTCCCGCAATATTATTACATTTTCAATCAGGAAGGTGATTAGAGGAAAGTAAAATATCAACTTAAGGATGTTAATTGATTAAATACCATTTTCTCCTTGCTAAAACTTTAAGAAATGCATGGCAGACCGTGTGGAGAATTTATATTTAAATTTCTGGAGTGCAAGGGTTGAAATGTCTAACTACATAAGCATGTTATATTTGTTGCAAACTAATTGCTTTGTATAGGAGGTGAAGGCACGGAAATTTTTTGTAAACCATTTCAGAGAACTTTTTTTGTAAAATGCAGTTATTTTGAGATAAATTTTGAAACATTATTTAATCTTTCGCTTTTTGGGAATGAGCATAATGTTATTTCAAGTGGAATTGTTACAATTATTTTTGAGCCACAAAAAGTTAACTTGAAAAGCACTATTTGTTCCTTTGAGCATTTCTTACTTCTAAGATCCATTAGGCCGGTCATTTAAACTAAGTTTAGCCGTTGTTTAACAAAGTCTCGTTCCAAGCCATCTTCAATTTGACCAAACCTTTAATACGAAAATTTATTTTTATGAACAGTGTCAAGAGGGCCGGCCGAAAGTTCTAAGTTTAAATCAACCTAGTTAGAAAGAATCCCGGAGGCCCGATGCTTGCGTGAAACCGCGGTTTGGATAAGACGTAGAGATACGATACTACGGCCCCTGGTGTCAAAGCCTGAATTTTCTCCTAGCTTCTTTTCTGTTGCATAAACTGCAAGTCACTTTTGAGGATTATTTCTTCTCTTGACTTCATCCACAGCTCAATTGAAATTTATCTCGTATAAAATTGTGTATGGTGAAATTCTGGTTATATACCTAACAAATTAAAGTTATTTCTTGTGTGGACAATGTTTCTCCTAAATATAATTAATTTATGAATCAAGTAAGAATTTAAAATGTTTATAAATATATTTTGAATTGTTCCGACATAACTATTTTCTGGAACATTATTGCACCAATGATTGTTAATTATTGTCAAAAGGTATTGTGGCTAGAAATCGAATTCTAAAGTAGAAAAATTTAATGTAAAGCCGTCGAAGTATTTTAGATGCTGTTCTGTGGTGAGTTTTTCAAAGTATGATTTGTTCTTAGCCTCGTATAATTGCCGTGGAAGAGTGTAGATTTAGCATGCAGGTATCCCAGGAGAAGTGCTGTTAGGGTATTGCACGACGCGGCACTTAACTGCGCGAATGACCAAACTTCAAACATTTCTTATTACCTTGTGGTAATGAGGGTCCCTTTTTAAACGCAAACAGCGGGGTGAAGGTGTGATATCAGTTGAGTCTCGGAGAACAGATTTTAAACCTCGTCACTGGATTAATCAAAATTAGAGGAAATGCTTAGTCTCTCACGTATCATGCTCTCTGGTGCTACTACTGTTGTCATGAAATATCTAGAACGGTTCCCGTGACAGTCACGCATTTCAAATGATCACGCAATCCTGAGAAACTGCAGCATGACACTGCATTGTCGAAATTCACATTCGTCATATAAACGTTTACTTCATTTAGAAATAGTTAGAGCGTATCACAAGCACAAGTGAAATGCCTTATGTTTAATAAAGAGATGTATTTAGCGTGAGTATGAGTCTGGAATTAATCTTTTCTCCCTAATGTAAAAGGTTTTTGAGCACACGACCTATAAATATACCGTTTGAAAGGACGAGTTCCCGTCTTTTGTAAGACGCGAACTTAGTACACAGCGTACGCGAATCTTTTCTTGTTCCGTGCTCACTCAACTAGACGCGAACCATGTACACGAGCAAACTAATTTAGATAAGAAATGCGCTTTCTGTCTATTTGTTTACCTGAAGAACAACGTTCTCTCATGTTGTGCTTTTCTCTAGGAGACCAAATTCATGCTAAAGAATTTTGGTGAAAAAAGTAACTTAAAAAAAACAACATTTATCCTTACCTAGATACTGAAGAGTATCAGAAAGCCCGCCCTCCTTGTTGTTAGTTTTCCCATTTGCTTTGAGACAAGTCGTCGAAACAGCTGTTCAACGAGGTGCCTTTTGCAAAGAGACAAGTGACTCCTTCGACTCCTCTGGCGATAAATAATGAATCGTCCGTAACTTCGTGACAACGAACTGAGAATGCTTCTGTCTTCTGATGTTTATGAACATCAAAAGGAAAATTCTAATCACTGATGTGTCAGAAACACACTCAGATACTTGAAGCGCAAAAGATGTTTCTTATTTGTTATTTTTTTCGTACAGATCTCTCCTCTATTAGTGTGGACTTTTCTGGTTCACTAGTTTCGTTTCCCAGACAGTCTTGGTAAAAGTGAAGGAAAATACTTTTGCTTTTAATTTCTTTGGATATCAAAAACAGATATATTATAATTTGATGAATCACGAAGATAGCGGAAACAGCAGGAAAAGGACGCAGTCTTTGAGGCATTCAAAGGATTTTTCTATGACAGTTTTTCATCTTGCAGAGGAAATTGATCCTTTGTAATTTCATTCATTTTAGTGACATTTAAAAATTCATGAAGATCGTTTAAAACAATTTAAGTGTCTGGCTTGCTTAGCGAAAATTATGCTCCTTAAAAAAAATTAGTAAACTGTCGGTGTGAATATACTTTTGGCATCGATTTAGAGACTAGCTTTGTAGGGCTTAATCAGAAAAGCGAGCCTAATTTCATAATCATCATTATAAAAGATAATCCTCATCACAACAAGAAAGAGGATCATCGTTCAAGTAGAAGGAGGTAATAATTTCGGAGAAAGCAATCCTCTAAAACATTAAAAAATCGCTAGAAAATTCGGCGAAATGATATAGAAAATGATCACTCACGTTCGAAAGTCGGTGCGTAATACATTAATCGTAACATGTGAGACTATTACAGGAACCGATGAAACATCAATTTTGCTCTCAGTATGAAATCCGCCACATGTCCGATTGCCAAAGTGTTGAGGTAGAAAGAGTGGTTGTCACTCTGCCAGCTTACTAGAGTCTCCCTGAACAATTTTGGCTCCTGGATACCTGACGTTTTCTCCTAGTTCGTGACATTAAATGTCTCCAGGAATCTCTTAAAGAAAAGCTTTAATCCACATATATCGAAATTTAATTAAGTGTCTTCGCACCATATCTGCTAACCCAAC